GCTGAAGGCGCTCGGTCATGTATCCGCACCAGATCACGTGCTGTAACGCTGTGCTCAACATCAACCGCAATCACTAGCCAGATTAGATCAGAGATTCCCGATATATTGGTTATCGCCAAATACACTCTTCCGATCTCCGCGACTCTGTCTTTTGATTTCTCTCGGTGGGAACAAAGCATATTAGAAGGTGTTACTGGTAGAAGCGTTGTCAAACACTGAATACCTGTATCATCATCATTATCATACCTTAAACATTCCTTCATGAAAATTGGCTACTCTGCCTCTCGTCCTTTATTTTACCTGCTCCCTCTTTCAGCCCCCTTGTGATATAGAACGATGAATTCATCCTGCACTATCCTTAAAGCCTTAGATATTCCAAATGGACATAAGGTTGCGATTTCCAGAAGCTCCAACCTTCAATGGACATATCCTTGACCATCACTTGCACATTCGCAACACAACTTTCACGAAGCGCGCTGACTGTGATACTGACTAAATGGTTCAAATGGTTGTGGACGGAATAGAAGAAGCTTTCGCTTAACAGGCTTCCGTAACTAGTAGCAGGGGATCACCAAATTCTCCAGGCAGGAACCTAGGTATGTTAACAATAAAAGAGGAAAAGAAATTGGTAAATCATAGTATGATACTGTCCTTGGTCCTTAAGAATAGGTCAAGTTGCCTCTTGAAGGACTCCTGAGAAGTCGCTTGGACTAGCTCGGCCGGCAGCGAATTTCAGCTTTTGACAACTCTTGAGGAGTAGAAGTTGTGTCTACATCCCGTCTTGCTATATTAAGTTTCCAGTTTCTGGGTGTTACCCCTTAGTTTATTATTCGAACTAAGCTTGAGTAGGTGTTTAAGAGGATGTACAGAAGTGTTAAGAATACTATAAGCCATTAATAAATCACCTCTAAGACGCCTATACTCTAATGGGTAAAGGTCTAGTGAATGGAGGCGTTTTTCGTGAGGCTTAGATTTGAGTCCGCGAACTGATTTCGTGGCTCGCCGTTGGATACGCTCCAAAGTGATCTTGTCCTTTTGGAGTGAGGGGGGAGTACTATATTTCCGTACTCTAAATGGGGACGGATAAAACTATTGAAGATTGTATGGAAAGTTCTTCGGTCAAACTGGCCAAAAATGCGCTTCAATGTTACCAGTGCAAGGTTTTCTCGGAAGGCATTTTTGTCACAATTAGCGTAAGACTTTAAGTCATGGGGCACCAGGACTCCTAAATCTTTTTCGACTTGAGATACTACTAGAGAGGAATTTCTTAAGTTATAACTGTAGTCTGCGACATGTCGCAGATGGACTACTTTACACTTTGAAGTGTTAAACGTAAGTCCGTTATCGTCTGCCCAACTTTGAAGTCGAGTCAGATCCTCCTGAAGTGCCTGTGTATCGTCTTGGTTGCGTATCTCTCTCCAAAGTTTCACGTCATCAGCAAAAAGTAGTAAGTCTGACGTTACCTGTTGAGGAAGATCGTTTATGTAGATCAAGAAGAGGAGAGGCCCTAATACTGAGCCCTGGGGAACCCCACTAGGACATTCCATATACAAGAGTAACCCTTCCTGAAACCATGCTGTTGGGGTGAGAAGAAGTTTAAGGACAGTAGATAATCGTTTAAACCATCGCATATCAGGGACTCCATGAGTTTTGAAGGTAATGACAGAAGAGCCACAGGCCGATAACTTGAAGGTTCATTGCGTCGACCCCCTTTGAAAATTGGTGTGATGTGAGCCAACTTCCAATTTTCCGGTAATTTGCCTTGGCTTAGCGAGTGTGAAAACATCACGCTAAGCGGCGTTGCCAGTATTGAGGCTCCCTCCTTCAGTATGGCAGAATGAACCATATCCGGGCCAGGAGAAGTATCTAGTCTTAAGTGCTGCAGTTTCCGGAACACCAAGTCAGCGCTTAGGTCCACTTTGGAAAGCCCTGTGGAATTACAGGTGAAACTGTCGTCAATAGAGTTGATGTCAGCCAGCTGAAATGTTTGAGAGTAGTGTGCCGCCAGAAGGTTAGCGGCGTCACCATCGTTGTTGGTTGGGCCGTTAAGACCTAGCAGTTGAGAAACTCCTGTTTTGGCTTGCCGAAGAGAGGCTGCATAACGGAATAGGCTTCTAGGGTTCGAGGCAAATTTGTCCATAAGCTTTGTCTGATAATGAAGCCTGTCTTCTCTTATAGCCTTCGTGCATATGTTCCTGATATGTTTGAATTGCCCATACGCTCCGTCGTTGTCAGTTCGTTTGTATTCCGCCCAACAGTGCCTTTTACGGCTTAGCAGGCGAAGGGTACGGTTCTTGATTATTGTAGGTGGCTTACAGCTTTTGGGAACCGTTTGAGGAACTGAATGGTTTGTAGCACATAAGAGCGTGTGCAGTAAGAAGTTCCAGTGACCGTCCACATCGAGTTGGGGGTGAACATCCCAAACCACCTGTTGTAAATAGTCGTGTAGAGCTGGCACATTCAGCCGTTTAAAATTCCAACGCAAGTTATTGTTGGGATACCGTAGCTTAGTTTTGGTGACAAAACTGAAGGCTATGACGGCATGATCGCTCTTTCCCAGAGGAGCCAGGATTGAGAGGTTGTCAACTAGGAATTCTTCGTTTGTGAATACACAGTCTAACCGCGATGGTGTCTGAATGTTTCTCCAACGAGTTGCCGACCTCACATTTTCATATAAGCCCAAGTCATCAGTGAGGTTGAAGAACCGAGCTTCAATTGAGTCGTCACCTCCAGTATACGTGTGTTCCACGAAGTTGACTCTAGGAAGATTAAAGTCCCCTAGAATCAGGATATGTGTGAAACCGAGACGGGTAGAGCGGGATATTCCATCCAGCATACGACTATCGTACTCGATGTCAGCAATTGGCTTCCTGTAAATGACACCGACTGGACACCTCGAAGTGCTAGACAATCTTACAGAGCACCATATGGATTCCTCAAGATTGTTAAACTCGAGGTTGTGAACTTGGTGCACCTCCAAGCAAGAGCTTATGTATATGGCTACTCCACCCCCAATTCCTGCTGTTCTGTCGTTGCGGAACAAAGTCATCCCTGGTAATGCTAACTCTTGGTCCGAGAACTGAGAAGATATCCAGGTTTCAGATATTCCTATTAGGTGGGCTTTATTAGCGTTGCAAAGTTCACGTAATTCATCCAGTTTGTTTGGTAGACTCGAGGCGTTCATATATAAGCAGTTTATGCTTTCAATTTGGAACGCGTGAGCTTTGTCCTGTTTTTCTGTATGAGCCTTATGTGAATGGACAGGTAGCCCACCCATGTGAGGTTTACCGAGGTGGTAGGCCCTGTCCTTTACACGTTTTTTTATCGTTTAGACAATCCACAAGTGGAATGGTCAGCTCCAACTTGCCTTTGTGCTGGGTCCTGGCTTCATATGACCTGTCCGGGTGCATGTGGATTCCAGGTGGCAATCGACGTCTGTTTGCACGAAATGCTTCCAGAACTGCAGCCGCCATGTGGGAAGATGGGAAGGTTATCTTCATTATACGGGGTCTAAGATCACCGTCCTTCTTGGCTAATCTCGTCACATGCTGAGTCAGTATGTGTTTGAGCCTCAAGGACTGTTTGATGAATTTCCATTCCCTGATGTCAGAATTTGATTGAGTAGGGTCTGCATTCTCCGGTATACCTTGCACAATTATGTTTCTTCCGCGGAAAAACTTCTCACGAGATTCTTTAGGGATGTTACGTATGATATTGCACTCAGAGAACGGTATATCGGGCAATATTCTTACGTTACCATCTGATTTCAGCAAGTGACTTGCTAGTAAGACGTCCTCTACATCGGTAGCATTCTTAAGTGTTACTCGGAGAAGCCTTGGGTGATTTAGATGCTTAGAGTCCTTTCCTCTAGAGAGCCGGGTGACCATCAAAGGCTCTATTCTAGGACGTTCGAGCTTCTTGTTCAATTCACCCCAAAGCATCCTGTCGTTTTTGTCCTGCAGACTGAGAGGAAGGTCAGGATTATCAACGAGGTTCATGATAATGAGAGAGTCATCACGAACTGCTGTTAATTTACCAGGTTTCACGGCGGATTCATGTTTAATGACTTGCTGTTTGGAGGTCAGTGTGCGTATATGAGGCTTGGGCTCTTTTTTGACCGGACGAACAGTTTTGGGAGTAGACTGTGCGACCAAATCACCAGTTAATTTCCGTACAGCAACACTTGGGTTGCTCGGCTTAGGCGGTGATGCCTGGTTCTTTTGGGCTTTCTTAACTTGGGTCGAATCACCTACAGGGTTTTTGGGAACCACTGTTGAGTTCAGGGACCCTGAGCTGGGAGACCCGAGTTTGCTTAGGGAGTCTAATACCGTCAACGTAATGATGGTGCTGAGCCTCGACACGTCATCATTAGTGTTGATGGATGTTCCATCGATGGTATACCTATCAACATCCCTATTTTTGTCTACCGGTTTTCTTACTGCCGTTGTCCAAGTTAACTGACAACTTGTTCCGAAGACCTGTCTGTAGGACAATGATGTTACTCAGCAAAACTACAGCATCCGTGCTGCACGTGACATATACCCATTTTTGGTCTGACTTGCTGAGTCTGTTGTAAGCAGTTGATGTCAGATCTGTGCATGCTTCGTGGAACCAACCTTTGCAGTTGTCGCACTGCATGCCAGTTGCAACAGCAAAACGGCATCCCGGACGTTTGCATGAGTTTTTCATGACTATGTTGAAGCAAACTATGTTATAGATGCTTGCAAGAGCCTAAGACCTTTAAAAAACACTAAAAAGCACACTGAAAACGGACAAAAATGGAGAAAACGAGTGTTATAAACTGAAACTAGTCTATACGTGAAAAACAAAAACAAACCGAATAGTAAACTGAGGCAAAACCACAGGTAACTATTAAATATGGTGAAACTCAAAAAATAGTAATCTACCGAACGTATAGCTCAGGATAGATTCTTTAGAACTGAAATGGTACTTTTGTTGCGTAAGAACACAGCAAAAGTTTGATAAATGCAAATCACGTTAGTACTAAACTTCCCGTTCGAAAAGCGCGCTACTTAAATGTTGTAAAACGATCTACATTCATATCTTTTAAATTATCAACTCAGCTAAGCAATTTATCACAGTGGATATTGTATCATTTGTATCAATTTGATCTTTCCAGTAAACTGGCATGTCTCATGTAACAAACTGTTATTTGAGAATAAATTATTATTATTGTTATTATAATTATTATTATCATTTGACCAGGTGAAATTCTAGAAGGGTTGGAAAATGAAGTGCACTGTTTTCAAGTAAAACACCTATAAATGCATTATGTTAGCCGCTATTTCATTTACTTATCGAATTTGATACTGACAACGAAGTTTAATCAATTGTCCCCACAGGTTTTCTGATATGCTACTTATGACATCTGTCAACTAATTGAAAGGCGCAAACCTTTTTAATAATCAAGTCTATGCCGGTGAAGATCTTGGCGAAGTTCCGAATATGGAAGATTACGCGAAGAACCAATTTGCAAGTTAATGGTGACTGTGTTTTACAGTGACTATTGTCACGTTTATTAATCTAATGAATTCTTTGAATATAGATAATAACAACTATACTCAGTCTTGTTAGTATGTTGACTTATAGACCATCGCTGTAATAATACTACTTTGATAGTAGACAGAATCCTAAAACGGCGAATTCGTCGTGATGTGACTGCCTAATCTGTAAGATCTTCCATGGAATTCACATCACTGTCTACACTGACTCATCGTATCGTAACAATTAACAATATGATACTTGGCACTTCTGAATAACACACTTATGTTGCGGATAGAGTTTAATATTTTATGTGAATAGTGATTGGTAACACATAATGACCACGTGTACAGGGCTTAGCCATGTCATCCGGTTGAATGAATGTTTTTACGTCCATCATTGCCAACCTTCTCCAAGCGTTCCACGTTGAATTTACATATTTTCAAAAATTATACATTCAGATTCGAAGACCGTGTGGTTAGGAAACAATGCCACCACAATTATCCATCCGAATACACTGTCGTTGTGAAGAAACTTATATATGAAACGAAGCATTCTAGTGAGATATCTAAATCGATGCAGTACTACAAATTTTCGTAACGAAACAGGTACTTATAGAGCGAACACTTGGTTATTTTCAATTTTCACAAACAGTTACCAATTATGATTATTGGTATACCAACTCGTGAATCTACGGAGATGAAAATAGTAGTTGGGCAACACTTCATTGTTCATCATTACTACTGTTACAGGAAGAGCAACATTTGAGGCAGAAAGACAGGTTTGCAAGTTGGATATATAGCTATGTTAAAAATAGTGCTCAAAAAACTTCATAAAGTAAGCAGTTCCTGTCACGTTTCCACATTTCGTTGTATTCCGATCCATATTTTATCGTAAGGAATACCACACAAAGACAAGCGTTAGAGAAACTACAGACATACCTACTTATTGATGATCATTAAGTAAAAATTGGCTTCGTTGAATCTGTACATATTGTTTGTCTCTTTTTGGTAGTGAATTTGTTGTTATCATGGAAGTTGTGAGTTTTATTTATCTTCCTTCGACTGCAATGATGATGAACTGTACAATTTATCTTTTGTAGTTGACTGGATTTACCTGTAAGAGTTCGTCTTCATACCAGCAGCATATGACGGCAAGGACATCGGCATGTTCCTGTTTATCCACGATCCAGGTTACATCTGCTCGTAATTCTTTTCTCTTCCAGGCAAATAGAACAGAACGCTACTTATCAAAATTATCCCCATAATTTACCCAAGTAGGAGAATAGTTTCCCCGAAATAGGCTGTTTGGGAAGTTACGGAGCAACAATCGATCCTACGCGTGCACTACAAGACAGAGAGAAATAATTCAATGTTCTGTGTAATGAATTTGTAGCTTTGCTGCAGCAAGAGACCACTTATTTATGAGAACTCCTGATATTCATGCAACTCAACGGGCAACTAGCATACCACCAGCAGTTGAAACATGTGTGGTTGACCAGACAATGTATAAACGTGAAAAGTATCAACAAAGTTACTAAAGATCAATAGTAATATTATTTGTGTCAAATACAATAAAAATTGAGACTTTACTTAAGTTCACCAAATTGATATGTGTTCAGCTTTAGTCTGGTACTGTAAATCCACAATTATAAATGTTTGGTAATTCCAATCAGTCTATAAATGTAGGTAATATTTGATTTAGATTTCATTTAACTAAATCACAAACGAAAATAGAACGAGAGGTGTGCGTAGAAATGTATCTGTTACCAAGACACAGTATGTCAATTTCGTAAATGTGCCCTTCAGCTTAGCAACCAATCAGAATGAGGCGGGAATGAATACATCCGCCACCTTTGTAAGTCATGGCGGTAGGCTTTCTTCGTTCTGTGCTTCTTTCAGTTATTTCTTTTGTGTAGCTATGTAATTTAATGTTTCGGTCTGATAAAATGCCGCAATTAGTGTTATGTTCTACATGTTGGTGTGAAATTTACTTCGAATCAGCATTGTTTTTATGGTTTTTGCTGCTTCTACTCAAGCCAATGTATTTCTTCAGCCAAGCTGGTTAGTCTTATGTTTTAAAATGGTAGTCGGTTTTGTTTTGACTTGTTTTTTAGATATCCAAAGCCGGAGTTGGTTTCTCTAGCTAGAATAATTGTTGTTGCTGCCTGTGACTAACTGTCCGCATGTTCGTTCCTAACTGTCCTTTATGATGTTATCGGCAAAATGAAAGGAAACAATCTCCGGTTTTTAATTTTCTTCAGTATTATGGACAACACTATCCCGCTAACGAGTCAAACTAATACTGATTGCCCAGCAGTAGGGGATACCAGTATTGTTTTCGAAAGAACTCAGACTTCCGATAACCATAGACGAAGTCACAGATACTACCAATCTATTGAAGAGGGTTTGTTATTAAAAATATGTTATATAGCAGTAATAGAGGGGTTGTACTCATTACGTAGTGCGTTAAAGCAAGTCTAACATTGAAAAGACGGAAATCTGCTATCAGTGTGTAGTGTATGGTTGCTGTTTCGGTTATAAAAGGAAGCCGAAAGATCATGATCAGGGAGTAAAAAGGTAATTAACTGTTATTAAGCTCACTTTTTTATAGATCACACTTCACCACTCGCAAATCTGTGTTTTTTTTACTGTATGACGTCAACCGGTACCTAATATTTTCACCCTTACGATGAAAAATACCTGGAAATTCTCACCTTCATATTCGAATTATTTTTGGACAACTGCCTTCCAGTTTGATTGCTTCGTGCGCCCTGGGAGACTAGATTCCTACATTATTCGTAGTTCCAGTATAACGTTCTCATACAGTAAGTTCAGAGTAGACACTAGTCTTTCTAAATAAGCCTGTTAAGCTAATATCCGTCTTTTCTATTTCAGTTAATCGATGAAGACATGTACCACGTGCATCTGCTGTATATTGTCATTTCACTGCAATTCTAACTGTTATGTCTTACTTTTAAGAAATAAAATTGGTATATGCAGCAAATATAAACTTATTTGTTTTGATGGAGATAGGGGTGTTCATGGGATTTTTAGCAGTAGTAATATTCTCACTAAAGAGCTAAGCAAGTGCGTAGATCAATGTAAGGTACCACACAGAGTGCCTTTGAGTTACTCGTGTTCCATTAGTGTGGGTAGAGGCATTACTTGCTTATCATATGACATTTGAATAAGAAGCTATGAGATTAGATACGGGGACGGTTAGGATGTGTAACGTGTGTCCATCCATCAGCTGCCGTGGCAGCTCACGGTTGTGAAAGGACTCGAGTATGTAGGTTTTCCAAGAAAATGACGAGGATATGTATCAAATCACTTTATGAAGAGCGCCTCCAGCCACTTAACCTCTACCCGTCGGAGTATAGACATCTTAGAGGTGACCTTCTAATGGCTTACAGTATCCTTAACACTTCTGGGCATCCTCTTAAACACCTAGTTAAACTTAGTTCCAACACTAACCTAAGGGGTAACACCGAGAAACTGGAGACACAACATCGCAGAACGGACTGTAGACACAACTTCTACTCCTTAGGAGTTGTCAAATCCTGGAATTCGCTGCCCACTGAGCTAGACCAAGCGACTTCCCAGGAGTCCTTTAAGAGCCAACTGGATATATTCTTAAGGATAGAATCATACTATGATTTACCAATTTCTTTTCCCTCTTTTATTGTTAATATACCTAGGTTCCTGCCTGGAGGCTTTGGTAATCGCTTGCTACTAGACACGGAAGCCTGTTGAACGAAAGCATCTACTCAGTCCACAACCATTTGAACACAGGAACTAGGTGCTGAGAGGCTCGCTTATCACTAGTTTCTGGCAACGATTAAGTAGATAAAACAAAGTAGCATTAGATTGAAAAATTTATTCAAGAACTTTTATTAAGAATCGACTATCAAACAAAGGTTTAAACCAAGTTTCCGTTTAGAAGTTGTGTTGGTAATGTTGAGCTGCAGTTTTTGTTGTTTTTTTCCAAACGAAAGAGTAAAAGAAGTAAGTCAAAAAATACTGGAAGTGGTTGTGAGATTAAAATGGACGTCCAGCATCCTTTTTATAATCTGCTGTTAGTTGGGTCTCCCGTAAACAGTTCCATAGGGCCATAGTTCTAAGGGCGAAACAGTTCTTATGATCTGTGAAGGCTCACTCCTGAGGCATTCTAAATGATAAAAATAGTGATGAATTTAGTGAGAAATGTGGAATAGATAAATAAACAAATTACATATTTTTCAGCAAAGAATTTATGACGTTGCGATTTACCTTGGGTTCATGAATATTAGGTCAGGTCAGCTATTACTTGTGCAAAGCATAACATGGGCTTAGTACCGTATCGCAATACTTTTATTATTTTGCTCCCATTTAGGTATTCCCATGCATCTGCGTCTAGTTTAACAGGAAGACATACAAACAGAGTTAGTGTCTGATAAACTAAGTCACAGTTGTCAAAAAGATTCTTAATATTTGTCCACAGCCAATTGCATTTAATTGAGACAGAACACTCATCTTCTAGGACTGTATACTGCTGTTTTGCGGGCAACTAAAAGCTCAGACGCTTAGCTATCTTGCTACCGATGTTATTGCTGGGGAAATTGTTTAATGACAGTGATCATGAAATATGGTCAGTGATAGATGTACAGTCTAGAAATAAACAACAAACATACTTATCGCCATCATATAATATATGACAGCAACAGCATTGTGGTGGACCAAACAGATATGAACACAAAAAATATAAACAAAGTTATTAAAAATCAATAGTAATATTAATATATATAATTAATTGTCACAAATACAATAAAAATTGGGGACGTTACTTAAATTGATCAGACGTTGCGTGTTATGATTAGGTCCAGTAAAGTAAATCCACAATTATAAATGATTGTTGATTCTGAGCAGGTTGGTGAACTCTCTAATGATATAACCCAACGTAGGATGTGATATATTTCGGTTACAGTCTATAAATGAAGATAGAATTTGATTTAGACTTCGGATAGCTCAATCACAAATAGAAATAGAACGAGTAGTGTGCGAGAAGCATTGTATTTGTTAGCCGGCAGCAGTATGTCACGCTATGTAGTAGTACAACGGAAAGAGTGTTCAAGGTCGTTTTCTAAAACAACAGTTACGGTCATTTAATGTTAAATATACATACAGTGAAAGGTTGACAAAATAAATACAAATAACATTGAAAACTATTTACAAAATAAGCTTGTCGGGTCCATCTCCACAGCATCAAATGCACATTTTTTTCCTATTTTTAATCAGACTGATCTGAATCAGTATATTTATTAAAAACAGGCAACTCTACTTACTCAACTGATCTGTTTCGTAAGAGGCTTGAAGCACTTTACTTAAGAATACCATAATCCTTTCAACCAAACTGAACTTTGTGACAACCAACAATACTAAACTAAGCAAGTGTCGTAATTATTGTTCCATTTCCGCAGACATGTTGCCTAAAGTATTTAAGTGGACATAATTAAGACGATAAAACAAAAACACGAAATATAGGCCAGTTGAACTTATCTAACACAAGACAAAGGAAATATATATTGCTTTGATACTGAAAACAACAGGCAGTTGTTCATAAAAACATAGTTTGCCGTACAACAAACGTTTCTTCAGTAAAATCATGCACTGACAGTCTATCTGGAAACAATCAACTATGTGAATAAACTCACTATGACTTGAGATATCATCCCAGCGTGCAATGGCCGTGCTGTGTAACGCAGTAGGACGTGGCGAATAAAAATTAAAAACGATCAAAATTAGTTACATAATCTAATTATTTAATTAAAAATACATTATGAATTGACAAAATATGTAGTTACTTGAACGCACAAATGGCAGTTTGCGATTCATTAAGTTTACATAGTTGCGTTGCGGATAAGATCACCCCTATGTAGTTACAAAATGGAAGGTGTTCAAGGTTATTTACTTAAACAACATGTACAGTCGTTTGATGACAGATGTACATATAGTGAAAAGCTGACGAAATAAATACAAATAACATTAGAAACTATTTACAAAATAAGCCATGTATCCACATATGGAATTACCGCCTATTTCAGCCCACTCTAGGTCGTTTCACGGAACGGCGGGCGGCTTAGAAAGAATCTCCCCCGATGAATGGCACACTATGCTTGTTAGTTTACGGGTTTTCGCGCACGTGTAACGTATTGTCGTGGATTTTATGTGTCGTTATTTATCAGCTATTAACAGCCTTTTTTCCGTCATACATGACTTTTCGTAATCTTTGTGATTGGAAGATAGTTTTTGTTTCAATTTATAAGCAGTTTGACGTATTTCGTGCTCACCACCTAAGTAAATATGTAGCTGGCGTAATATGGTTATTTTTTAACAATACTAAGTCAAAGAAGTCAAATCACCATTTTTCTAGTCAAAAATAGATTACAGATTGAGTTTTCATGAAAATAAGCCGTAAAAAGAATTATATATGGTTCACCTCCTTGATTATGGTGACGGCAAACACAGATGTTGGTAGTCGTTTATAAAATGTAATTAGAAAGAAGTAAGCGTTAAAGTAACTATGAATATTATATAAATTGTTTGTATTTAGCCATAAAAGGTTATTTGGACTATAGGTAGCATTGTTTTGTACTGAAGTGACATATTACTGTGTAAGGTATCAGAGAGAAATTATGTGAGTAACAATAGACGTTGATAGTCTTTTTTACCGGTTTTCTGAACTTATACAGAAATAGTGTGTAACACCACATTAAATATGCACGAAATCTTCATAAGTAAATCGATGGGTGTCTCTTCTGAGCATGGTGACGAAACCATGTCTTACTTAATACTGACTTATTATGTGTCTGTTAGAGGGTTGACGAATAATTCTCTGTAAAGGAAATGCACAATCGCAGAAGAAAATGTGAACAAAGTTATGATGCATATTGTCGAGTAATATCTAAATGGTGCTTACCAATTTCTCTTGCTAATACCAGATATATAGACGAAATACTACAAGGGTTAGACACTGAAGAAATTTCCATTCAGGTATGTCAACTGTTTCCCACATCACTGTTAAATCCTATTGCATATTTAGTTGTAATGAATGCATACCACTGTTAATCAACATTTCTCCTGGTTTTATTTTGATTCATAAGCGGAATTAATCACATGAACTTAAAATGTACATAGGTACTGATACGATTTTAATGATAAACGTAATCCCACGAAGGTGAATATGATATGTGGGTGCCTAATCTGCAAAACTGTACGCGGATGTAGGGTTTCTTAATCAATCTTAATTATTACAAACAGTTACACATGAACATCATTGCTATTCATTCCCATAAAAGTAGGAATAAGATGAAAATTGAAATTATGAAAGTTTATTGAAGAATCATTGCTGCAAAAGCAGAAAATCAAGTTTACAAGTTGGTATTAAGAATTCTTAAGTAATAATTGTCCACTTTCTTCTCAACTTCCGTTGCAAAACGTTCACCATACTTCTCAATGATGCGATGTTTATGGATTCTTTGGCTTCGTTGAATACTTACATACACTTCACTCCGTCGTGGTAATGCAGGTAATGTATAATTTTGGAAGTTCTGGGTATTGTGTAACTTCCATCTGCTACAATACCTAAGAAGTTGATGAGCTATGCAGTTAGTATTTCATAATTGATATAGCTTACCTGTAAGATTTCTTCTTTTACTTTCGATAACTTCGTCTGCTGACTCACAGTGAAGTATTACGGGCTTCGAGTTCTCTTTTTCTTCTGACGATAATCTCCTTGTCCATGGATCACATACCATCCATGAACTACTACATGGATGATTGTGTATCATCTTGTAGGATTTGATTACATATCCTTGCTCTTCTAGTCTTACACGGAATTTAGATTGACAATTACGGAATTTAGACCTTAAACATAAGATATTAGTTAAAGATCTTACGATTTTGCCTCACTTTCAAACCTTCCGATTTCCGTTTGTGACCAAACGTACAATTAAACGATACAAACAGGTATTTGAACCTGACATCCTTCAGCAATCTGCTTTCTGTGTGGATGTAACGAGTATAAGTAGTCTGAGAAGCGATAAAATTATAGTTCCATACTTTTTGGAACTCTTTTAAGGCGCTTTCAAAATCATCCCACAACACGAAACGCTTGTTCAGTATCATACTTCGAAAGGCATCGGTTAAGTCGACTGAAATGTCACTTGAGGATGAAGCACTAAAAACAGACATTACTAATTATTAAACAGTTATTCCTTGCAACAATAATAACCCAAGGAAATACTACAAATACTTGAGATTTACCTGTGACTTGACATTTCGTTTAGCTTTACTACAATTGTTGGGATCAAAGATCAAATTACAAAGCAACAACAGAGCCAAAGTGCACACTACAAAACAGAGAACGCTAAATTAATGGTTTTGCTATTTATTTCGTGCTTTTTATGTAGCATAGGATGACTTATATATGAAAAAACTTGATACTCATGCAAACCAACCAACCCACGGCAATTGAAATACGGAATGACCGCCTCTAATCAAGCCGTTCAAGGTCGTTGAAACGAAAGAGCGGGCACATTTCAAAAGGACCTAACGTTTACAGGCAGCGCTCCAGGGGTATCGCGACACTTTTTTGCGCTACTTCTTCATTTCTGCTTTGTGCACAACCAAATTTTGAAATACATTATGAATAAATTTGAAAATTTATTTTCCGTTTTCATAATTAGGTAAAAAGGGGTTTTTCCATTTTGCGTTACATGGTATCGCGAAGTCCTTGAAAATTCATTATTCAGGTGCTGCTATAATAGTTTTTCGGTGTTTGCATCGCAGATTAGCAATTGTTTCTAGTTAGGTATGCACTGATGGTAGGCAAATCTTTTAATTTTATATGAAATAGCAAGATTTAGGCATATATCGTCATAAAAATTGTATTGTCGTCAAGGCTACAAAAACTGCGTTACAAATAACGATACCATGTAAAGATTTATCGTTTTTCCCATCTTTATCACAATTTCTGCTGATTTTCACTGTTTTGTTCGACTTTTATGGCAGAAATAGGTTTATAGTGAAAACATAAGGTGTCCTGAGTGTTGTAAATATTATGTATATGCTATAGATGATAATAACACATACCAAGATGTTAATATTGCCTCCTACAGTTAGATATATTAGTCACCAGATGATTGTATTGCAGGAAATAAATCATAATCGTGCGGTAGAAGTATAATTATGTGGAGGTTTTACCAGAGACCAAGCTAAGATAGCAGTACTACCTCTTGTGTAGATGTACACATGTATTTAGCTGTATCAAAGCATGTCATTGAGATATGGTTGTAACTTTTTTCTTTTTTTTTAATTCAGAATTCACGGGACGACTACCTTAATTCTCAATAGCCGTGCAATTGTTTTGATGTTATACTTACATTTCAATAAATATTATTTTTCAAACAGCTTACTTTTTTACTTACATGGGAAGCTGTAGAAGTGTTGAGAATGTGTGTTTGAGTGTCAGTGAACAATTGAATAAATGCATATTCCTTATAAATAATACATCACGTGTTTCTTCTTTTGCAGATAGTTTCACATAACAATGAATTAGCAATTGCATTGGATATGCAAAACAATCGATGCTTAAGCTTCTGCTCTAGTGTTGTACAATAATACGCTTTACCTTTTAAATAAAAATTTTCAAAAATATGCCGGTTTTCCACTGTATTGCAGATTTATTTTGGTCTGTTGTTGAAAATAAAGGCGAACATAAGAGACCTTTGGGTTTATGTCAATGGATGGAAAACAGGGAGTTCTGTGTGCATTTAGGCGAAAAGTAAACAATTCAGCGGACATTTAAGCGAAAAGTAGACAATTATGCGGACAGTTAGGCGAAAATTCGGTAATTTGGCAGATATTTATGCGAAAAGTGAGTAATTTATCGACAAAACGGCGAAGAAAGGGGAAATCCACATTATTTCCCCCGGACAGGCGAAAAAAGCGACATTGAGATGCGTTTTCCCCTTTTTGGGTTGTCTGGGGAGCTTCAATATATTGGCTGCCGGTATTATTGCAAAAATACCTAATATCAGAAATAAGTATTGATATAAGGCTGTCACGAGAAAGCACTGAAAATTACGATTCGATAATCAAGATATCTTGATCTAAGGTGACCAGATTGTGTGAGATCCTATGTGATGATCTTCGGAAATCAACCAAGGCCTGTCTAGCTTACGTGCTGATGCCGTTAATGACAATTACTCATAACTTACGTGGGACTGCAATAGAATATGCATCAAGAATTGCAGGTTGCACAGGACGATTCAAAGTAAATTCACACAGTAGTCTTTATATATGTTCATCGTCTAAGTTTCCGAAGTGCAACCTGTCCAAAGAATTGAATAATACAATCCGTGTATGTTGTGACCCAGACGTTCCTAAGCAACGCAAGAGATAAAGGAAATAAGCGTGATTGACTATCCAAAGGAAGAATGTGCTAAATGCACTTTCGATCTGTAATTGAATACTGGTTTCCGTTTTTATACTAGTTTCTGATAAACATTTATACTGAAATAACTTTCCTGTCTATCTTATTTCCAGCTAGCTTCGCAAGCGTTCAAAAACCTAACGGGAACAAATCCTGAGAAATAGAATTTATTTATTGATGGATCATTTGTGCTAGATTCAAACTTTAATAAACGTTTTCATTTAGAACGCACCAGTCTTTTAATCACGGCAATTCTTATCTATCGTGACAGGTCGAAATTCGAACTACATGTTCAAGGTAGCAGTATTTGGTAAACGGTATGTATGACTAATCGCGTGTGCGCCAAACTGGTAATTATTACACAAGAACGCGAAACAAGATCCCTGTCTCACAGCCACATAAGACTGAACAGTACACTCCTTGCCGTTACGCTATAAGAATAAATCAATGGCCATATAAATGAATTTATGTAAAAGTAAAATGATTACAATATTAGAACTTCTTGTTATCAAGAAGCATAGCTATGATCTGTATTAACAATGGATTCTGATGTTGTAGCTTCATCATTAGCACCGATTGAACTCACCACTTGTGCGCATGTCTTCCGATGCTTCGAGGCATGAACGGATGAGTTTACTTGCCAAAGGTTCACTAAGAGCATGGACTGAGTGGTAGTTGTTAGTGAACTACTCTAGCAGATCAACACTCCCTGTAGAGAATGACATGTTGTCCAGCGCACGAAGAACCAAGTCCATTATGTATTTCCATTTCCACCGGCTGCTATGTCGAAATAAGTCTACAAAGCTTATAGAGATAAGGGAACACACTCTTACCTCCACGAATTAGATCTTTGGAATGTGCATACAGAATATGACCACAGGGCAGCATGTTGTCACTGAAACGCTCACAAGCACATCATGCATGTGAAGTATCAACGACATACATCATACACTTGTTGTAGCACCGTATGTATTCTCCTTCTATAAATCCGTGTCTCATTGTCCTAAAACGTTCATAATTTACAGATACAATTTTAGCTGCAAAAGATGTGAACTCACTCATAGGAATTCAAAATGACATTGGAACCTGGAATTCATGATACATTTAACTATATTTCTTACCTAAAGAAATGGAAAACGTTGAAGATTTTTTACAGCGTCATATGGATGCAAACATAGGTCAGTCTGTTTTACCCCAAATTTTTCAGAACGTCAAAAGCAGGGAATCACCTCTTCTGAGACGTTCTTTTAGGTGTTTGTGAGCATTTTCGACACGGTTGTTTGTGTGGTTGCCCAGGCTTAATACATGTCGCCGGTAACAGCGAGCCCACATTGACTTCCTGGCAATCCAGTAGTCTTTTATGTAGTCATACGCTCGTGAGAAATGCGTCCTTAGATGTTCGTACTTTCGAGTATATCTGAATATAATGCGCTATGAAAAGCGAAGCTCACATATCAGACCGTCTAGTCTTCACAAGGTGTTCCAAGCATTTGCGCACATCAGGATTTCGGAACTACAGATAATTTGTACAGCTAACACATACCTTCCTGAAAAACGCTATCAGGGCATGGAATAAACAAAGTATTATGTTAGAATGACTGTGCGTAGACTGCACAGCCGAAATTTCGGTCGCTGCCGAATCCATAACGAAAGTGCGTGTATCATAAGTACCGTACATTATATGGTTAAAACATTCTGATAGTTTTTAGACATCTTCGCGTCGTTCTTGACTGCAAAGAGCATAAATAACAGTGTGCCCTTGCCCAAGACTATCAGTCACCACTAGCTGGAACAGTGAAAAACTTTCAGATAAATTTATTACTAATCGTTACCCGACTTTATTGGTCTGATAAGTCAAATCAATACATATTACCTCCAGGAACGTGAGGTAAACAGCTATTTGCTCTCTGTGGCTGAAGCAAATCATAGTCATGTTCCCATTTTCATTGAATACTTTAACTTCAGTATTTGCTTGAACGCGCTGTAAAATGTCATTGATATTTTTAGTGTCTAAACTCAATTAATTACAATGTGACATATCTCACGAAAAGGTACTTTAGAGTTGGATCATCATTGTTCTTTTTGCATACTGACATAACGTACTTAGTATGCGTATACTAAAAAAATAATTATTAACCACAGAGGTCATATTACCTTATGTACTTCTTTCAAACAGGTCTCAAAACTGTCCCAACTTGTAAATCTTCGAGATAACATAATATCATTGAAGATTCGTCCTATATCATGCTTCATCACGATGGAATCGTCTTCGTTACTTGAAGAATGAACGTTATCAAACATAATGTGGCTGAACTCAATTCATATCTAAAAATGTCTTGATTTGACCGCTTCTGAAAATTTTCACGAATTGTCGATGTGGCGCACCAATCATTTTGCGACAGTTTGACCTTCAAGTGCTCGCAACCCCCATCAGTGGACGATACCCTAGGAGCGTTGCCACGTTTACACCGTGCCCCGATGAATTATCGAGTGGCCATTTTTACTTTTTCTTGACTAATTTCGAGAGTTTAGTATTATGTAGCTGGATGGTGAGCACTTTTGTTATGAATGTCTTCAACGGTTCGAATATGTAAATTGATTCAGTTTCCCCATTTTAAGCAAATTTTAGGGGGTTCTAAGTAAATTTTGGGGTTTGTTTCAAATTTCCATGGTCTTCTTCAATGTTTTGGAGTAATATTGAGGAATGTTTCCAACCGAACCAATCAGTTAACTGGTTTTCGTCTGAAATTCATTCATTCATATGGCTAAATGCAGCTTTGGCGTTATAGCTTATATCAGTTTGTGACAAAAACCCTTAATCTAACTCCTAACTCTTGTCATCAACTGTAAATCATAATTCCGTTTCTTCACACTAGTTTATAACACTCATTTGGTGCTAGTCATTAGATGAACATTAAAGATCACTAGCGAATTGTGTTTTACAGTGAATGATTAGCATTAGGAATTAGATTTCGGGTTTTCACGAACTGACATAAGCTATAATGCCGAAACTATTTAACCAAATTGGATGAGTGAATTTCGCACCAATATTCGAAGCTTATTATCGCATACCTTATTGGCTAGTAAATAAATTATTGTCTCGCCGCTACTCGTTTGGAGTTAAATTGCGATTTCAGCTTATGAGGTTTTCAAGAATCTTCAAGATGTGTTTTAGGTTAGCTCATTCTTTGAAATCCATATTTCAAGTGCAGTTTCACTCACATTTGACACATTATTTTAAGTATGTTGTTTGAGCCCCAAAATGCCTTGCTAATTTCTCACAAGGTTAGGAAACTGACAACAATCACACCAATGTTTTGTATATTTCTAAAATCATTGCTTACTGTAACTCCTAAGTGCTTATGGTCAGTAACTGTAGGCAAGTTTGTTTCATTTGCTGTGTTGTGGTGTAGGTTTCCACGGGGACGTGTTTCCACTTCGACACTTACTAAACTGACTTGTCTCTTGATCACATTATCTACACCGCTCAGACTTTGCTCCCCACAGTCTGTTTTGTGCTGATATGTGAATCCGGATCTGAGACTAGATTCACATACCTTTGTGCTGCTTATGGTTTTTTTCTTCTCAGCGTGCTTTTTCTTCCTAATAACAATGCCTATACCTGTATGGTTGTTATCCCCTTTTCTAATGAGGTTCGCCCTGATGGTCTCATTAAAATTTAAAGATGGGTTCATGATAACGCTCTGCATTTCCTTAAAAACTGGATTTAGCTCATCTGCTGCCTGTTTATCTGATGGCAATTTCTTTAGCTATGTTCAGCAGTTCAATCGCCTCAAGAATCAGCAGACATTGGAGAACAGTATGATTTTCACAGCCAACATGATAGTGGCTTTTAGCACCTTTTATATCCAGCCAATATGAGTCCGGTGCATACATTGTGATACCACTTATTACAGTTGCTACATTGCACTCCATCATCGACCGGGAAATATCATTCAGGTCTGTCACAACGTTGTTTTTCTTGCGCCATAAATTTGTTTCGTGATCTCGCAGGAAGAACAAAAGCGAAAACTGATCTCTAGAAAGGGTGTGTTTTAAGGCTTGTTAGCTGAAAGACACTGAACACAAGCAAAAACAGAGGTTTGTATATTACTGTACCTAACAACAATAAAAAAATCCGACTGCGGCAGTTACAAAAAGGCCTTAACACTTTTGAATACAAACAATACTAAAAGATATACTCAGCGATGAAAACAAATACCAGTAGCCTTTTTGTGTCTAATTAGCAAGTACAGGTGATAAACTCTCAACATTTTAGTATTATCCACAAACAACATAATAAATGTTTTCTATTGATGTGGGTCATTTGTCTTCCATGGTGAAATTTGCAGTCTTTTTAAAAACTACCTTACGTAACTACAAAATTCTCGACTTTTTTTGCTTAATTATCATTTTAGGGTTCAGTTTTTAATCGTTCTCTATAGACAAGGTCGTTAAACATGTAGTTTTTCTAATTTAAGCTAAATCATATGCAGTTTCTTACGTATTCCGGATATTTTGTCTGGTTAAAGCTTGATTAGCATGTAGGAGATTCAAACTTTGGTGAACAACACACCTAAGGAAATAGTTGCATTTGTTCAAGTCAAGTCAAATGTGTAGATATTTTTTTCATTATTCGCTAATACATCTGGGTAAAAACAAACGATACAGCCGACTTTGGAAAGCATGTCAGTTAAAAGTGCTTAGTTATAAAACAGTTTAATGCAAATAAACAGTAAAATTATCATCGGAAAATTTTTAATATAAATAAAGGACCTTTACGCGTTATTATTATTATTATTATTTGAACACAGGTATTGGTACAAGGAGGCACCAAATGTATATGCGCTACACAAATCTCATTTGATATGTGGGGGGCTGTGATACTGCCCGGGTACCCAAACCGAAGCAGGTGGTTTTCTTAGGAGGCCACTCCTCGAGCCTTCGACCTGAAGGTTTGATCCACAAGGCAGTGGAGCATCGTGAGTAGATGCAGTCCCGTGGCAGCTGATGACCAACAATTGGTTCATATGCCATTTGTTCCCTCAGGATACTGGAGGCCATTGGTTTGGAATCCGGTTAAAGCGCCGGACATTTGCTTTTCGTCCTCTCATTTTCGTAAACAACACCCCTGCCACGGGAAAGCAGTGAGTAGGACTTCCCTGGCAGAGGCTATATACGCATGGCCATGTGAGAACATTTCGAGAGGGTGAGCGAACTCTCCCCACTCTCGGCCGTACCAGGGCATTTGGCGGCTTCTAAGATCAAGCAAATTTATTAAGCACTGGTATCTTCTAATTTATAAATTTATTTCTCTACGGTCTCCAGTGTTATCGTTTGTTAAAACTACAGGTTTACACATAAATCAAATGTATTTTTCAACTAGATTTAATCGGAATAAGTGATCAATACTCACCCTAATTAACATTCGATCTTGCGAAAGTCATATGCATATTATTTGAGTTTTGTTAAGTATCCTGGTCTTATCACTATTTCCTAACTTTACACATTACAGAGTTATTTTGGTACTTATGTTTTGAAGTAATATTGGGTTTAAAATTCTGTTATTCATGTATAATTTGATCACTAAAAAACGTGTTCATTCGTCTTTTGTAATCTACTTTTTATTTATTTTGTCTTATTGGTATCGGAAGTTTCATATAAACCACTGGTATTTTGTAATTTCAACATTGAAAACATAAGATAAATCATATTATATAAATCATACTCAATGTTTCCATCCTTATCAAAGTTGTATCATGTTACATCAGAATGGTCAGATTCTGAATTAAGTTTATTACTGAGTGCGTTAAAAAGGTTAGTCCTAATTTCAATTTAAATTGCAATTCTATTAGAGATCGTTCATTTTCAACACGTGAATTGGCAGAATTCATACAGACAAAAAAGAAAACAGAGGTAAGTTTTTATACTTTGGATACGTTTCTTTAATAATATCGGTTTTTGTAATATCCTTGGAAACTACTAAATATATTTTTTTCTAGAAGTAGTTTTTCGACTGTTTTGGTCGGACTTTTTTAGATTAAACGCTGACTGTAATCCACTGGTCGCTGAATAAAGTTCATTTTCTGAACTAATAACGTTCAGATTAACTATACTTGATATCCGGTATATTTCAACCTGTTGGTAGGAAATCCCTATGATGATTTTAAAAACCTATCATTGTTGAGTGTCGGGAATAAAAAATCGCTCTTTTAAAGTGAGGTTCATAATTTGTACTACAATTAAGAATGTACTTACAGGTTGTTACATTTCTACCGTTCCTTGAGTTTTAGAGGAAGCCTAGATTTCGTTGAGATAACAGTTACTCATAACCATTGATAAGCTCGAAATATTAACCTAGTACTAGCTGCTGATCGTTTTTCAGCATTTAGTTTCTTGCTGTACTGAAAGCCTGGGTCTAATTAAAAAGCCTTTGGTTTGTACAATAAGTTGAGAACCTAGTTCTTCAATGAATTTCAACAAATAAAGCACAATAAAATTTACAGAATAAAGGGAATTCATTATACTTGGAGTCTGCTCATCAACTGATAGTGGGCCAGTTACAATTAGTAACGATATTATAAACAGTTTTACTTAATATTATTATTAGTCAATGAAGTTGAGTTCGAAACAGCAAAAATCATAAGGAACAAAAAACATTGAGAATCGGGGAATAGGAGTATACTTACAATTAACTGGAAAAGAATTTACGAAATTCTTTTAAAGTTTACGTGAGAACTTTTTTGGTTGTTAATAATATCATTCTACTAGTTTATTATTTTATGTAGTTTTAAAAGCTATTTTTTATACTACTAAGCAACCTTTATTTGATTCACTAAAGTTCTGATCAACTTTTAGATTAGAGAACTTATAGCTTGCCTTATGGATGTGGATGAGAAGAATTTACAGGGTAAACAATAATTTGTATTAACCAATACTTATAAACATAATTTTTCTTGTTTTAGATCCACAAATTACTGTGTCGGAAGTTAAACCTGAAGGATCAATTGATGTAGAATTCCTATCATTACTTAATACCAGATTTTTTCTTTACACAGATTTTATTACAAATAACTAGACACAGTTGTACTGAATACTATAATTATAGTATGGCATTAAATGAAGTATGTCGTTTACATAGCAATGCATATTCTCATGTTTTTAACTAATTATTACTGTAATAAGTAGGTGACTTAATGGTTAAAGCATCCAATCCCCAGTAATTCAGTTGTCAGTTTGGACTGCATCTCCTGTTTACTTTGGTTCAAGAAACTGAATAGTATAATTATCTTAACTTACCAAAAAATCTGATCGAAAATTAAGTACATAATCCTGTACTTGATAAATAATTTAAAAATTGATATGATTAAAAAAAATAACATAAGACAATTCACCAAGACATATACTTTTACCTCCATTTGTATCTTCGCCTGAACTGAGCTTAGATTGTCATAATTAACGCTTCCAATACTAAGCTGGGTCAAACTCCCCTCACAGTCCATTAGTAAAGCTTCATGATCATCTGTTCAATCTGTATTTTTAAGTTATTGACATTTATGACCAAAACTTTGTATCTGTAATATCTCAAAAAGGAGAACTAGGATAATAGCATTGAAATCCGTTGGACTATAGATCTTTTGACAATGTTCACCTGCAAAGAGTATGTAGGATGACCATTTCTTACAACTAAAAACTTTCCACTCAAATCTAAAACATCATGTAAAAGCTATTGGTGTTATTTATCACATATTGTTGAATCGTTTACCAGATATAAATTTGTGTACTTGGTTTTGAGGCACAAATGATGCTACTCGGTTTCCCAAATCGAATTACGTGGAGAGGCAAGGATGGTCACAATGGTTGAACTTGTGAAATCCTAATCACTGACCCATATATATATATATATATATATATATAGTTAATAAATTCCACTGAAATGTACTGTATCGCCGGTTGTAGGGGTATTCTTCCTGCTAGCAACTAAGAATTGTAAGGGTAAGACATTAAAGTCGCCGTAAGAAGTCATTAGTCATAATGTATTCATAACTAGTATTGTGAAATCCTCTTGTAACATATTTCAGGTTCTCCAGCGAGCTTCTACGTGGGAAAGTGTAGAATGTCGTAAAATCAATAAAAGAGATCCAGACCCTATATATTTACCTTATGCACAGGTTTATCGGTTTTTTTCTTCGTTGGTTTGTGGACAACCATTACCAAATCTATCTGACTTGTCGTCTGGCGCCTTTCTAGATCTTTTAACATGGTATGTTGCATCAATGTATTGAATATTTTGTGTAACTATTGTCTTTCAAAAGAATTATTTCACTTGTCGGCTCGCTCATTAATCATATTAAGACCGCCATTGAAAACATGGAAGTACCAGTCGACCATTCTATCCTAGTCTTGGACTACTTACCGGTAACCATTCACAACTTTGCATCTGAGACTTGAACCCAGTGTTTTCACTTAAGCGCGGACACAATCTCCAAACCACTAGACCGACATCCAACGCTGGGAGACCAAGAAGACCTATCAATTAAACTGGGAAGACGGATAGATCGTCAATAAATCAATAAAGATCTCAGCGAGTGTGAGAACTCAGCTTTGGAGGCATCACACTACTATCGGCAACAGGAAGCGCTTTCAACAGAGTGTTGTTGAGTCGAATGAAAGATTCAGTCGACGCCTACCAGCTTCGAGACCAACATCCCGGATTCCTTAAGGATCAGTCGTGCAGAGACCAAGTTACAACACCACGGATCATCGTTGAACAATCAATTGAATGGAACTCGTCACTATATATCAGCTTCCATAACTACGAGAAAGCATTTGACAGCATGGATAGGAGAACCTTATGGACTCTTTTTCGACACTATGGTGTACCTGAGGGGATCGTTAACATCATTCGGAATCCATACGACGAACTTCACTGCAAAGTTGTGTATTGAGGAAAGGTGATAGATGCATTCCAATTGAGGACTACGGTCAGAAAAGTATGCTTAGTCTCCCCTTTCTATTTCTTCTGGTGGTCAACTGGATTATGAAGACCTTTATATATGGAGTAAGCATGGAATACAATAGACAGCTTGGATGCAGCCAGACGATTCGGATTTCGCAGACGACATAGCCCTTCTATCTCATACAGACGAACAAATTCAGGTGAAGACAGCCAGTGTAGCAGAAGCCTCTGCATCAGTAGACCTCAACATACAAGGGAAATAGCAAGACATTGAAAATCAACACAGAGAACACCAAACCAATCATACTTGATGAAGGAGCTCTGGAACAGGTGGACAGCATCATCTGTAAACAAGGAGGATCCGATGCAGGTGTAAAGGTGAGGATTGGAGAAGGGAGAGCGACATTCCTACAGTTGAAAAAGATCTGGATCTCAAAACAATAAACAAGAGGTAATTAAGAAAAGATAATGGAAGTGGATAGAACATACGTTGGGAAAATCATCAAACTGAATCACGAAACAAGTGCTAACTTGGACCCTAAATGGAAACAGAAAAGAGGAATACTAAAGAACACACTGCGTTGGAAGTTAGAAGCAGATATGTAAAGGATGAATAACAACTGGAAACTACTGGAAAGGATTGTCCGGGACAGAGTTCGATGAAGAATGCTGGTGGGCGACCCATGCTTCTTCATGAGGAATAACAGGCCTATGTAAGTAAGTATGTAAGTTATTCTGAATGTATTAGTTGCAGTATCTCACAATCGCAGCCACTTTTGGGCCTGATCTTGTATGGTTTTTATTTTCTGTTTTATGGTATAATGGGTTCTGATTTGCTTGTATATAAACGAAGTATTTCTGAAATACATGATTTTTATCGCGGACGCTGATATTGGTGTTTTAGATTAAACCGAATGGGCTAGGCAAGAAGCTAATATCTCGATGGAGTAGTAAGAACTCAAATTGACTCCATATCGCTCTTACTGGTTTATACGTCATTGGTCTGATCAACAAGTCGGTGTTGTAATTGACGATAAGTCACGTGATATATTCACAGGGCATCAGAAAATAACAAAAACGACTACAGAACACAGGAAATTAGCACAGGGAACTTGGAAACAACTAATCAGAGGTCAGTAAATATGTCATACGAAAATATAATTTAGAATAAAATGGACTCAGGGATGTCGTTACACAAAAGAACTCAACACTCGGTGAAAAAAGTTAACCTGTTATCTTAGCAAAATATAATTTCCAATTTTAGCTCTAAATAATTGGGTAACATTCGGTGTGTTTTATATTGGTAAACGACATTGAATATAATTCTTGTATGTAAGGATCAGATTTGAGCTGATAGGTTGCTATGGCCTTAGCCATGTATAAGTTGCTGATCCAAACATTTAAGTCAATTATTTTGGCTATTTAGACAACCGTGAACGATTATTTGTTCGTAGCTGCACGTGACCAATGCCGTGTATCATGAAATTGAAATCCAGGGTTTGCTGTCAACCACCACTAATCACCTGATAATTATAAATACGGTTGTACAGTTTAAGCAAATGGCATCACCGAAAACAGAATTCTCTTAGTTAAGACGCTTTCATTTTTTCCAGTAATACACGTACGAAGTTACTTTTATTGACACATGCATGATTCAGCATGTGTTCTCATCGAGACATTAAAAATGAAAAGTTAAGCGAAGAAATATTTCTTTTCAATTAATTCTTTATTTCAAGGCTCTACACTGAAATACAAGTTTTGTAATCAAGTCTAAAATCAATACCAAGTACCAAATGTTGGTTGGTCAATTCGACAGTGTTCTCTCTAAAACAGTAGTCAGTTAGCAACTTAACAGATACAAAATCAGATCTAAGGATAAGATTATGTCAGTTAATTATTTTAAGTTTATTACTTAAGAATAAGAATTAAGTTCGAGAATTAAGCAATTAAATATAAATGTTTAGTATTATTTGGTAAAATTACTAATTAAAGAGTGGATTCAAATAAAATTAGTTGATCAGATCATTGAAGTATATAGATCACGTAAATGTAGTCCTAAATTAAATTTGAATAAAAGGAAATGCAGTTACTAAGTAAATGAAGACAATGTTAAATTAAGAGGTCGAATGAACTTTATCTGTACGAAAAGATTGTATATCTATAGCACCCAAATGCCCTGGTACGGTTGAGGGTGATGAGGATTCTCTCTTCTCGAAATGACCATATGACTACGCGTATATAGCCACCGCCTTCTCGCAGTGAGTTTGTTTACGAAATTGAGAGGGCGAAAAGCCAATGTCCGGCGCATAAGTCGGGTTGGTGGGTATAGAGGAACTATCTAGGGTAGTTGGAAAACCCTGATTTCAAATCTGTGTTGCATATCAATTCAGTGTCCTGAAGGGTCAAATGGCGTATGGATTTATTCTTGGTCATCTGCTACCATGGGACCGTATCTCTTAACGTTGCTCCACTGCCCTTTGGACTAGACTTCTAGGTCAAGTGTTCGGGGAGTGGCTCCTTAAGAAAATCACCTGCCTCGGTTTGGGCACCCAGACAATATCCTAGCCTACACACAAATTGAGTGATAACTATTTTGTATGGCATATATATATATATATATATATATATATATATATATATATATATATATGTCTATTTGTGCCAACGTTTATGCGTTTAAACAAATAAATAAATATGGCTTCTGTCGTATCCAAAAGCGAGGTTTTTCCGTCAGTTATTTGTAAAAAAGTAAACCGTTTACTAGATTTTTATAATTATTTTTCATGCTTTATCATTATTTTTCATATTAGTTTAGACAGAATTTTAAACTTTGTCAATACTAGCAAGAAAAGTGAAAATCCTAATCAGAATTCCCATTCATTAATTGAACAACTTCAAAATGCGAATAAAATCGCTACTGAAAAAATAGGTGTATTTTTAGCATTGGCCGCTGCTATTCAATTGAATTCACGTTTATGTTCACGACGTGGATGTGATATTACAGAAAACTTTGATGAACACTGTATTGCTCCACTGTTTTTATTATCTAAAGTGAAGCATCCTAATACACTAAAACAAACTCGTGAAATGGTCGAATATCTAATTAATCGATTTGCGAAATTATGGTCATGTAAGAAACTTTTTATATTATCTGTATTTGTTTGTTTAAAGTTGTTAATGAAAAGTAAATGAAAGTTAGGTGTTTTGAAGCAGATTTTTTGACAGTTAATCGCTTTTTATGAGATACTAATTTCAAATTAATTGTCGATCAATAGTTGGAACAATCCAAAGACACCTAGACAACAGCTAATCAGAGTATATTAGAGCTCTGTTTGAAAATTGGCAATTCCTAATTAAATGTGAAGATAAAAATTCTTTATATTTATTGGATTACTTTGCTATAAATCACATAAATAGTCTGGTTCACTTTGAAATCCAATTTCAACCCCAAAAAGTCTTCACTTCTCTGGAACTGATTTGTAATCCTGTCACAGATAGTTGTAATGTTTTCCAACTTTATACTTTGAATGTTGTGCGTCAAAGTACTATTTAATTGATGAACCAGTATGATTTGTGATAGTGGTATTGGGTTTTCCTACCAAATTAAAAACTCAAAGACAGATAGCTTGTATTCTATCAAGAGTCAAGTACAATTTGTCAGTAATTAGTCATGAAGATGCTTAAAATTATCAAATATTAGAAGATGAAAGAATAAGAATGAACTTGACAGATTCTTACAATGACCATTATAAAGTGGTTAGTTTTTTCATAGAAAAGATAGTAGTGAATAAAAAACAATTAGTGTTTATAACATTGCTACATGATTTGGTTTTTTAATGGCCCGAGGATTTGACTCCAAGATCGTACGAATGATTGTTATCGCTTATTCTCGTATATAATCGTCCACTTAATCGCGTTAGCCAATAACGGAATTAGATAAGTCGAATAACGAGAATTGATTTGTGAGTACATATATTTTGTATATGAAGCGAATGAAATAGAGCATAGCAAAACGACACGCATGGAAGATGGCTGGGAAGCCAACTCCATTTTAGTCAAGAGTTACTCCATATTTATAGTCAGACAAAAATAAGCTGCAGACATGTGATTAATGGGATAAGAAGGGCACACACATATACGCTCATGTATAAACAGTCTAGATTGATAAGCGAATAAATAACAAGGTCAAAGTATGGCTCGAGTAGTGTGAATAAAATGGGATGGCCGAAAGTTAGAATAAGGTATATGGGCTTGCCATAATAACTGACTATACAGTATTTAAAGGTACTGTAAAAATTGATGCACGCTGTTCCCAACCTGTTAATACCAACTCTTAATCCTAAACTCAACTTCTAATTTAAAACCTAAATCTTAGGACGGAATTCTAACATAAGCTCCTATGCTTAGCCCTAATATATATATTTTGTGGTGGGAGTTCATGTGACAGTTTACTCATATAATTGAAACAGATCACAAGATTGATCTAAATTCAGCTTTTGTAGTGCTGTATAAAAGTGTAAAAGGGCGTATACTAAGGTTCATTGAAGCCTTAGCCATACGAAAATTCAAACCCCCTTTATGTGTTCAAAAACAGTTTGTTCTTACCTTAAACCTACCCTGGTAATATTGACTTATTATCCAGAGTGATTAGGTTTCGCTTTGTGTTCACATTATTATTATTACTATTACTCTTATCATTATCCTTATCTCCTCTTACCCCGTTTCCTGTCTAGTTGACCTTTTATTTTTATATATAAATGCTCTTAACAAGTATATGTGTGACCAGATTGTTCGAAATGTATTGCGCTAATATATCACATAGTTCTGATCATCTTCGTCTTCTAATATCATTATCGAAATTTATCAAAGGGACTAATTGTTTTAAGTTTACTCATCGATATCACCATTCTGATTGGCTGAGTATTGGCTTCGCTTCCTCAAGGTTATGCAGGTCACTGGAGGCCGTCAGTTAACCCATAGTTTCACTATGTCCAGGTTAGAAAATGTCCGAAGTATTGAGAGATAAACATTGTAAACTTCTGTGCAATTATGCGCAACAATAAATAAGTTGCCGGGAGCATAGATTGTTGAATCAAGTTATAGAATTGACTAGTGAATATTTTATGTGAATTGAATGTATTCAGCTAAACGATAGTTAAAAAAGAAGTGTATATATACAGTTAATACCAGGTCGCTTAATGTGATCTAGCCTAGTTTCAACTATGTCAGGCTAGGCACCAAATAATTGTATGCTTAGGTAAATACGTTGAAACACATGTCTGATTATAGAACGAACGCATTATTTTTTTTTTGTACGACATACAAATTTTAATATAATCCTCTTATTTTTTTGTCTCATTCGGATGGAATTACTTTGTTTTTCTTACGTTCCAAAGTTTATTCAATGATTATTAATAACAATTTGTAGTTCACTGGATCATAACATGATGTGTGTGTCAAGCGGTTATTATTAGGTTCAAGTCTTAGTGTAAACATCAACATTGGAATACAAGTAGCTCTCACTGACATGTCATGAATAGGACGTAACATGCGTTCTGAATTCCACTATTGAATACGTACCAAATACAATAAAGTTTATTAAATGAATATAAATATTCAAGGAATCTGATACTTTCCATAGGCGTAAAGTTTCAATATATATATATATATATATATATATATATATATATATATATATATTGAAATTTGAAGTCTACTTAATAGGTGAGTATCACAGGTCAATTAAATAGAGCGTTAGGTTAGCTACCTGCATGTCATCTCTTTAAATTTTACCATAACTCAGATATTTCTGCACTTCTATTATCACTACTTAGATAACAACGCATGTATTTTAGTCTTTTAATTTCTTTTGTTGTCAACATTAATTTACTCATAGTTGTTTTATTTTTGTTTGCTGATATAAAGTGCCGAAATTCCCATGTCCACAAAATGGTTCATTTGCTTCTGAAGGAGAATTAAATATTCAGTCGACTGATTTACCAGATGCCTTATTCAAACGTCTTAGTATGTTTTCACTGAATCCATTTTCATTCCCAATGGAAGTGATGTCTCCTTTTCAAAAAATCTTAGATGATTTTCGACATATGTGTTCAAGCAGGTTCAGTTATTTAAATCGCTTCAAATCAATTTTATCCATTTCTTTACCGATCGGACTTCAACATTCTGTCAAACGATCCACACCATCACAACCTATAAAAGTTGTTAACCAATGGAAAAAGCGTCGAATTGAAAAGTCATCGACTAAGAGTCGACCAATATTACGTCATAAAGCGTTGGAGAGTTCTGTGTATGTTATTTTTTTTAAAGATTTGTTTCATATTAGCTAAGTTTGTAAATTTTATTGATAAGACTATCTAAAAACATTGATTAAAATTATTGAATTGTGCATTTTTGATTGTACACTTGTTACATTGTCAGTTTCACAGCATTCTATACCATTCATTCCATGATTAACATCAAAATATTTACAACTGGTTTAATTAGGATGGTCATTAGTTTGTTTGTTGATCTATCATAGTATTCATACTTATTAGATTCTACAGTTTGAGAGGTTGCTAATTATTGATACATAAATAACCATTCAAATTTCGCAGTGTTATTTCAAAAGTTTACAGTTGAATGGTCACTACTCAGTGGTCGACCACCTCCAACCATCACCTTATCTTAAAAGTGAATACAATTCTGTTTTCTATGACGACTGGTTTTGATATCCAATAAGCTTACAAAAAGCTTAAAACAGCCAATGCATTGGTATAGAAATATAAATTTGATCAATTGAAAAATCACAATTTTTAGAAAGCTATGTCGTAAAGCTGTGGAATATTTCAACTTTCGTGAGTACTTCTGGTTTAGTGTTCATTTTCTTCTTGTTACTAAGTAAAATCTTTGAAATACAGGGAAGATTTTATGTATTCAAGCAGTTCAGCTGTGTAAAGTGTCATGTAATTATAATGTAGGGTTTCTTTTTGTAATGAATGACAAATCAGCATTGGATCGATATTATTTGACATGATTAGTCAATAAGAATCGTATAATATTTCTGTTTCCCACCTGTATTGTTTCGTCTATAGCCTAGGCTCCTAAGCTTTGACTGGCAGGATCAACCGTGAATTGAGGCCACAATAATCTTAATGCGTATTTGTCAATGTCCTGTTTTCATACGCTCACATCCTGACAACAAAAGTAGGATGAGAACACGTGTGGAATGAAACTTAGTGATACGTTTGTAATTAATTAACGATAACTTGAGAAAGGTTAAAAATACAACAATGGTTTATGAGCCAAGCGAAAGCTTACAACTGGGGGAAATACAAAGATACAATAATTCCAGTATTTAGTAACTATACAGTAAACAATGATTTTCGGTAGAACTGTTTATATATATATATATATATATATATATATATATATATATATATATATATATATATATATATATATATATATATATATATATATATATATAGTTTCGATAACATGAACTCTGTGTCACTGTTGACATTTTGATGTTTAGTTCCTAGTACTGATTCCTTTTAATTAGGTTTCAACGTATTGACTGGCTTTTAACTCCTTACAACAACTCATTCTATGAGACGTAAACACAAGTAAAGAATTACGTATTTGTAGGTTAGAAGTATCACAATAAGGTCAATGTTTGTTTTTGTAGCACAGATTTCGGTCCTCTCTCTTGCGTAGTGCACCAGTTAGAAATTGAGAAAGCATGCAATTGTTGTCGCAGATCAGAACAAGCTTACGTGATTATTTAAACGTTTTTCCTCGATTATTTAAGCACTTGGAATGAATATAATATCGTCTTTATGAAACTCACATTATACCTGAGTTTGCACTTTTTGCTTCCCAATATAGACCTTTGAATAATTTGACAACATTGAGTTTTGATGAAAATACAAATCAAGTTAGCAGCAATGCATGTAGTGATGAGAAAACTGATTTGAAAGTCAACCTAACAGTAAGTTGTTTATTTTATGAATTTCTAGTTAGATTGTCAGTCAGTCGCAACGTAGAACTTGGTACGTGTGTACATACCATACCCCATTAGCAAATATAGATGAAATTGTCAGGTCAAGTCTCAGGATACTAGAGGTATTAACAGTAACAGAAAAAATTAGGCACCGAAGGTACGACTCAAGAAAATATAAATTAATGAATAAAAACACAGAAAGGTATGAAGCAATTTTAATCCCACGATTTAAGGGAAGAAAAAGAGTGTATACACCAACGCCATTGTGACTGATTTTGAGTCATGTCAAACAGTCTCCAACCATTGGTTACAATAGTTGCGTGGACCCCAATCAAGTAGTCTTCATCTACCAGCATGACTCAAACCGAAATTCACTAACTTCGAGGACCGATTCCACGTTTTGGTTTGGCCACCCCTAACTTTACGTGTATCTTCTACTTTTAATGACCACGTTTTGCAGCCGTAAAGTAGAACAGAACGAACTGCTGCGCAATATACTCGTCCCTTAATTGATAGACGGATATCTCGCCTTCGCCATAGTTGACGTAAGTTGGCAAAAGCTAAACGAGCTTATCGAATCCGTGCTGAGATTTCGTCAGACACCAACCCATTAGGGCTGATAAGACTTCCAAGTTAAGTGAAGTTGTCAACCCGTTCGTCTACTTCACTCCCTATCTTTAGTTCAGGTGTTGACGCAGACCAGTCCTGAAGCAACAACTTGCATTTACAGCGGTAAAAATGCATCACAAACATCCTGGCATTGTTGCTCACTGCTATAAAAAAAGCTCTGCATTTTATCACCACATTCACCAAACAGTACTATGTAATCTGTGTATTCTAAGTCGATAAGTGAACCTCCAGATCGACTCCCGAAAATTCAGTCGACGAGAAAGTTATTACCAGCAGAAGTCTAAAATGAAATTAAACAAAAATGGAGATAGTGGACAGCCTTGTTGGACACCACTCGTGGTTGCAAAATCAGATGGCATTACACCATAAGCTGAAGCCACGTGCACCATTCAAACTGGCTGCCTTCAACGTTCGCACACTTATGCAGGTCAGACAACAGATAGGGCTGGTTATGTCTTTGGAAAGTCTTAATATTGACGTTTGTTGTCTATCAGAGACCCGTATTCAAGACTCTGTTTTACGTGCGTCTATCCGGGGACCCTGTGGCATCTTCATCTGGTCTTGCTAGAGTTAAGGTAGCACTAATCGATTTGATCCCCATTAACAGTCGGTTATGTACTGTTAGATTAGAGAGTTCCATCAAAGTGAGAAGAAATCGGCATGAGAAACGATGTCTTTTCGTCATCTCCGCCTATGCCCCGACAGATTGCAGCCCGGATGCAATCAAGGATGAGTTTTACCACCAGTTATCTGTTCTTCTCCAGAAAGTGCGTTCGACAGATATTGTAGTACTAGCCGGAGACTCGAATGCTCAGTTCGGGTGTCTAGGCACAGAAGAGAGTCATCTAGGTGGCCGATGGGGAATTGTTGGTCGCAGGACAGATGACGAGGACCGTCTACTGCAACTTTGCACAGACCGCAACCTGTTTCTGGCTAGCACTAACTTTCGGCACAGTCATCGCCGATGTGCCACCTGGCGTCCTCCCTCTGCATCTCAAGTCTGAACTCAGATTGTTCACATCGCGATCATCTACCGCTGGCGTGGTTGTCTACAAGACTTCTTCTTCTTTTGGAGTGCCTATCTGGACTCTGATCATGCCCTGGTCTGCTCCAATCTTACCTTACTTTCCAGTGGCCAACAAAGGATTGGTGTCAGCAAGTTGGTTGCAACTTCTGTTGCAAGTAAGTATCGAACCGAGCTAGCTTCTTGGCTAGCTACCATTCCACCGAAAAGTGTAGATGAGCATTGGTTGCAACTTCGTAACGCCATCAAAATGGCGAGTGAAGCCGCTTGCGGCTTCGCGAAACGTACCGCTTATAAGCACTGGGTTTCTTCTGGTTCCTTACAACTCATTGAAACCCGTCGGTCTACTCTGGGTGACCGTGAGTTTGAACACAAACGAAGAATGTTGCGTAAGGACCAAGAAGCCTGGTGGTCGGAGCGTGCTAATGAGATGGAAGCAGCAGCGTCATCTGGTAACTACCGGAAGCTCTTCCAACTCATCCGAGCCACTGGCAGCAAGAAGTCTGGTGTGAGTGAAACAATCTGCGAGGATGATGGGATGCCAATCACTAACATCCCTCGACGTCTTGGACGATGGGCAGAATTCTTCGAAGGGCAGTTCAGCTGGCCTGCTGCTCCGGTGACATTGGTCGGACTGTGCTGCTCTCCATGGCCGGTGACAACTGATCCACCAAATGAGGCGGAAGTCCGCTAAGAACTCCCACTCTTGAAACGCTACAAATCACCTGGCCCAGATGACTTACCTCCGGCTCTTTTTAAAGATGGTGGTGACCTTCTGACTAAGGAACTGACGACGTTGTTTTTTCCAAAGGTTTGGGAACTAGAGAGTGTACCAACGTCATGGAATGAGTCGATAGTTGTCCCTATCTTTAAAAAGGATTCACGTCGTCTCTGTAACAACTATCGGGGGATAAGTCTACTTCCAATTGCGTCCGAACTATTGGCTTCCGTCATGCTTCGTAGGTTGTTCGAAATCCGAGAAAGATTGACTCGCGAGGAGCAGTTCGGTTTTCTTTCTGGTTGAGGATGTATTGATCATTTCTTCACCCTCCACCAAACGTTAGAACATCGTTATACTTATCACAGGCCAACAATCATAGTGTTTCTTGACATCAGGGCTGCCTTCGATTCGTTAGACAGGACTGTTCTCTGTGATTGTCTATTGACGAAGGGTGTGCCTGAGAAGTTTATTAACATCCTGAAGGCCCTATATACAAACACCTCAGGTAGAGTGAGGGTATACAACCACCTTTCTCCATTGTTCCATTCAAGCAGTGGAGTAAAACAAGGTTGCCCAATCTCACCATTCCTCTTCAACTTTGCCATCGATGACATTCTGGAAACAGCTCTGATGGATGTAAATAATGGCGGTGTGGATCTGTTGCCTGGAGAAAGACTTCTCGACCTTGAGTATGCGGATGATATTGTCTTACTGAGCGATAATGCCCAAGCCATGCAATCCGCACTTAATCAGTTGGCAATTAGTGTCCGTAGTTATGGTATGTGCTTTGCACATTCGAAGTGCAAAGTACTTTTACAAGACTGGCAAGATTCTAATCCTGTACTCACCCTGGACGGTGAGCAGATAGAAGTAGTCGAGAAGTTCGTGTATCTGGGTAGCTGCATAAGTGCTGGTGGTAGCGTGATTGATGAGACCTATTAAAGTATAGGGAAAGCCAGAGTGGCTTGTGCCAATCTGGGCCATTTTTGGCGCCTTCGTGATGTCAGTCTCGGTAGGATTGCTGACATCCAGTGGCAACACCATCTTAGTAATGCAGAAGTTCGGCATCATGTGTTCGGGCTCAGTGACAATAATCCGATTGGTGTCACCATCGACTTCGGTGGCTTGGACATGTTCTACGAATATGGTCCCAGAGAATTCCTCGTTGTATATTATTTGCCGACTCTGGGACTGGTTGGAAAAAGCAGAGAGGTGGTCAGTGTATGACATGGTGTCGTGGCATGAAAGAAAGCTGCGAAGGGCTGGCTTGTGTTGGTCCTTCACGACTCCCTGGCTGGGGTCCTTAAGATAGTGCGACACAGTTGCTTTAGACGTCATCACCTATGGCTTAGAATAGGAGCCAGTGGTGATCTTGCTGTAACTTTGTTTTACTTCATAAAAAGTGGTTGCTTCTTACTTAACTGAAAGATCTCTTCTGATTGTACGTTTCTGTTCCCCCCATTATTATTATTATTATTACACTACCTTACACAAATCTGTTCGTCATCGTTTTTTTTTCTTTATTTAACGCTCCTTACCTTTTTTTCCTTCTTTTCAAATTCTCATTGTTTGTGTGGCGTATATATATTTGGTGCCCTCTTGTACCAATATTTATGTGTTCAAAGAAATAAATAAAACATAAGCTGACTCCACTAGTCGTGTTCGAGTAAAGAGCCTTCACAAAGTTAATTTACTTCTGAGGTACACCTTTTAATGATAGAGCACTACAGAAACTCTCAGTCTACAGAGTCAAATGCTGCTTTTAATTCAAGAAAAACTATCGTTGTCGGACGTCGACAAGCATGTTTGTGTTCTAGAACCTGATGAATGGTGAATATGTGGTCGATGCAGCCACCACCAGGTCTGAATCATACCTGATTTTCTCGTGTTTGCAGTTCACTGACTCGGAATGTCAAGATACCAACCAAAATGTCTTTCTGTTTGGTTTAAGCTACCTACCTGAGCATTAAGGTCACCAGCTACGAGTACTATGTCTGAGCGTTTAGCTTTATGAAGTACAGAAAGCTTTCTGCAGAACTCATCTTTTGATTCATTTAGGCCGCAGTCAGTGGGAGCGTAGGCAGAAACGACGTATCCCTATCCTTCCAAGTTCTTACATAGCCATTTAGCCCAACAACATAGGCGACTGTTAACAGGAATCTATTCTAATAGTGCTTGCTCCGACCTCGTACTTAGTGATTTACCTACGCCCGACATCGGGTCGCCACATACGCAGAGGGTGTATCTCGCTGGCTCTCCGTTTTGGCGTTGCAAGGTTAAGTGAATGACCATACTAGGGTCCTGTATGTGTGTTTTGGAGACACGGCATACATCAATGGTACGAGATTCTAGGGTTTTAGCCAACGAGGCCTGCTGGCCGATTTGACATAGGGTGCGTACGTTGAAGGCTCCAACCTGTGGTTCGGAGCGTGAAAGGGTTCTTCTACAACTGTCTGAAAAGGAAACTGGGTTAGGGGTTGTTCTAGTGACCTGAAAGCGTAACCGCAGTGCCCAGGGAACATCTGCTTGGCGTCGGTCACACGACCGTTTTGTGATAGCTTCGTGGTCGTTGAGACCTTACCGTCGGAGACGGATATCCGTAGGATAATAAGGCGAGGTGCGCATTTCCAGGGTCGACTTGTTCTAACACTCCTCCTTGTGGGAAGGCAGCATCGCCGTTATGCTGGTTGTCTGAGGGAAACACCTTTGTATAGTCAGCAGTACGATTTCACCCTCGCACCTTGGGTGTGCTGCTTTTAGTCTTACCGCTCTTCAACCGACCTGTCTGGCACGGTAGGACCTTGAGGAACGATTGTTCCAGCCAGTATAGATCGATTGGTTCATTACGATAAGCAAGTCCGACGACAACTTAAGGGTAGCAGCAACGGTATACGCACCTATGTCATTGCAAACGATTTCGAGCCATGTCATTCAGTCTCTGACCACTGGTTACGATAATCATGCGGACTTTAACCAGATCATCTACACATATTAACACGGGTCAGTCCAGGTCTCAGTGACTTCATAGATTGATACCATTTTTTATTTGGCCGCTCATGGTTTTCTTTCAGCCAACTCTTACGATGACAGTTCGCTTTGGATCAATTTAATGTTGATAAACTTGGACATATTCTAAGTACTCTATTTTATTCTTAATAGTTCCAGTCAGTCAAATGTAGTGTAAAGTATAGCACGTTTGTGAATCAGTTCACGTTACCGCACAACCAGACGGATGATCAAGACAAATGCCAGACTATATTAATTGTAGTACTAACAATATCAGCGGTAGTAGTAGTAGAAAACACAAGGTATAGCACACCTGATATTGGGAGAATAATTTTACGGAATATAAAGTACGGCATGATTTCGAAACTCAAAATTTAATGCAAGATAAGTTAAGTGCGTGTGTTCAATTGACTGATTCTGGACGATTTCTTTTAAGATCTATAAATATTGGTCACAATTACTGTGCAGATTGCAACCACACTTCGGATTTACAGACATGGCTCAACCGAACAGTTTGTGCTTTCATGAGCTAACGTTACGTCTAGCTATGGGCACATTTAGATTTCTTTCATCTTACTTCTATGCCAACCAACATTGTTCATCGCGACAGAATGTGATTGCGCATACGTAACACATATCCTAGCCAATTCAATGATGAATATCCACTACCGATTTACCATTTTATAGCGCCATACAATTAAGTTTTACATTTTGATACGACCTAGAGTATTTTTAATCATAATTCATTTTATTTAAGATATGATTATAGATGACATTTGTAAAATGATATATACTAAACTAGTAGTTTTATTTAAAAAATTTAGTCACGTCGCTTTGTAAACTGGTGTCCAGGAACACATTTCATTCGTGTTTCAGATCCAGCAGAAGATGAAGCTGTCAAGATGCTTATGAATACGGTAAAAGAAATTTCACTCATCATTATATATATAGTTATTATTAATACCGATTTCTCTATTTCATGCATACATATATGAAAATATTTTAGTCAACAATCTTATTTATAAGTTCACAAAAATAAATGATGTCTTTGTGAACTAGTATCATTTGTTCATTTTTATAGTTTTTGTACTGAACTTTAAGCCAAACTGTTTATGTGCAAATGACGAGTGAGCATCGCTACTTACTATCCGGCTGTGATTCGAACATAAAATCTACCAGTTGAAAGTTGAGTCGTTTTCAGCCGCTAAGAAACATAATTGTTATCAGAATTAATAAGTTCATCGTAAGGTGTTTGTGGAGATTGTTAAATTTCGATGTTTTACGCCATAGACTGATGTCATATTGCTGTAGCAATACGTATGCACAACTCCGAAATCGTCAACCCACTGAGTTCGTATCTAATGATATTTATTTCTGATTTCCGAATCCAGTAATGCATATAAGTCTTGTTTCACATTCGGCATAGCTGAACTCATCTGGTCGCGGCTTCGTTATAGAACTTCTGGAACACCAATTTATTATATCAGAAAGGTTTTGTGGATATTATTATAATTTCAATGGTTGAGATCATGAATCAATTGAAGCTAGACCACCATGGAAAACCTAGAAGCAATGGACGACCGTTTCGCTCTATTGTGGGACTCCTAAGCGCGCGAGACTGGCAGATCCTTGGTTCGAATCTCGCGAGGTGAGGTCGTGGATGCGCACTGCTCAGGAATTTCACAATAGGACGCAACGGCCGTTCAGTGCTGCCAGGTCTTCCATGGTGGTCTGGTTTCAATTGACTCATGATCTCAACCATTGAAATTACATATCTATTAGTATAAGTTCTGGTCCAATAGAAAATTGTTTATTTTGCGGTCATGATTTTTTTGTGCAGTCGAAATTTCCGATAAATATTATTATTTAACAGTTCTTATTCTAAGTGTTTGACACAGTGAAAGAGTATGACTATCTACATACTAGTAGATACAAAACTAGCGTACGTGTACAAGTCAAGTCCGTAGAAAAAAATGGGTCATCAAACAAGTATAATTGTCTTACACATTAGTTAAAAAACAGAAGGAATAGAATATTTCATTGCTGTTTCACTAATGCATCAACATACATTTCTGTTACAATATTATTTAATAGTAATATACTCTATAGTAGTAACAGTGTACACATTAATAGAAAAATGTATTTTCTCAGAGCGTATGCGGTTTGGTGCAGCTTATATTATGCATCTGTCATTAATTTGCTATTCTTTTTAACCTTTGTTTTTTTTTATTTTTAAAAGCATATTCAAGTGAAAACAAAAAGCACGAGAAAATTGATATAAGAAAAAATTGAAAACATGTACTTTGTTTTACCGAGAAAAAATATTTTAAATACAGAATAAATCAAAGATCATTGATTACTGTACTTGTTTGTGTGCCCGGGTTGGGGAGGTGTATATTGATTGTATATGCAAAATAATACTCTAACAGTGATATTCTTTTTAAAATGTTGGGTTGTTAGAAACAGTAAATATCATTAGTGAGTACAAACAAAATGTTCCAAACGTGAAGTTGCGGGATTCTTCCAAAAAATACCAAGTGATGATTTTTACATATCTAGACAATGTGAATTAGTAGTGTATGTCCAAATTAACTAACTGGCAATCGGATAATCATGATGATGATGCTGGAACTAATGATTGACTTGGTGATGGTCGAAAATTTAGCAGTTGTTTGCCAACTAAATATCTAAAAATTTATTTTTTTTTAAAATTTGAAGATTTTCATGTATAGAGCTTAAAATGAGCTTCAAAAAAGGGATCTATGCACGTTTACATATTTCATGTGTGTAATAGGTTTAAACTTCAATCTATTTTGTCATTGAATAAAACTAAAGAGAACGACGAAATCAACATCAATTTCGTCTTCATATCTGTCAAGTGAACAACTATGTCATATTTTTGACTCGTAAATTATTTTCATCCTGCTACTGTTCTCTAACCTCTTTGATAATGGATGTATAGCTAAATTAAATAATTTCGTCCTTCATTGAAATTTCTTCATTTGAAATCTGTTCAGTTTTTAGTTATGATAGTACATTAAAGATGAAACGAAAAAATTAATAAAATCCATACACACGTTCAGTTCGAGAATTTAATCAAACAATCAAAGTTTTAATCCAGTCTTTGACCAAGAATTTCAACGTTTCAAATCTACTCGTCTCGATAGCTGCAACCAATATATTAGCACAAAAGTAACAGACAAAAGTCTTCTAACGAAAGAACATAGAAATCAGCTAAAACTACTTAGAACTAATAAAGACTTGATTATAACACGTCCAGTTGAAGGCGCTGGTTTAGTGCTGCTAGACCGAAATAATTATGTTGAGAAAATGACAGCGTTATTATCAGATGATACCAAATTCTCAAAACCAATCAATGAGAAAAACAAGACTGATGTCTTATAACTTTTTTATTTTTCTCTCCTTCTTTTACAGCCAGCTTTCCCTTAAATTCTCTACCCCCATCTGGTTCATTTTGTTTCCACGATCATCTTCATTACATTTAATCTCAATTTATTTCATCACGCTGAGCTATCCGTTTCCCTATCTATCTTTTGATGAATACTTATGCCATTAACAATCAAGCGATTATTAAACTTTCCTTGTTTTTAATTTTTTTTAAAAATAACTTTGTTTATTTAACCTCACTGTCAACATGCGTAACAGAAGGTTAGTATCAGTATAATTATAATCCTGTAAAAATAAGTATAGATATGTGCGACTGTACAGCTTTGAAAATGAATTCGCCGAAAAGAGAACTCTTTGCTAAACTAATCTTTTTTTCTTAATGTCTTAATGGGTGTATTCCGTTTATTCAAAAGTATCGTATTGTATTTATGCGTTCGATGGTTGCAGTCATCTTGACTTGTTTGGCTTTCATCTATTCAGTTACCATCTAATCAAGGCTGTAGTTCTATTATTATTATTGACTCGAATTTTCCCAAAATTCTCGTCACTGTACTCACTAGAAATGTATAACTTCTGAATATGTTCAGAAATAGTCGAAAATCAAGATTGTAGTCACAAAGGAAGAGGAAAATGTGAAGTTACTATGTATGACCTCAGTATTTTGCCTATTTATTGAACAGTTTTAAATGGTCGACTACACAGAATAATAAGATTTTTACTACAAACTTACTTTTCATCTTTAATATGCAGATAAAGACGTCGAATTTGGTCGATACACAGAGTCAATAACACTGAACAGATGAACAAGGCGAAAAGAAATGGATATATATATCGAAATGTTACTTCGCTATCTAATGCTGTAGAGAAATAAACAAGTCAATAAAAAATTATTATTACGTAGATAACAGTGATACACAAAAACATATATGCATTGGAAATATAAGATGCAAGTCGATAATCAGAAGCCGTAGAAACACGGTTACCTAGCTAACGGTGCTAAGGAAAAATTAATCAAAACATAGCTCGTATTCTCAATATTTCGCTTTAAGCTATCCGTAACAGTACAACCAATAAATGAAAATATGTAGATTTATTCAAGTGTGTCAAAGATTTGCTTCCTAACAGCTATTTAGTTCACAATGACTGACAATACATAACTCCACAGAGAACAATGATTTACGATTCGACACATTTTGTTGCAGAGTATATTGAATAGATACTGGGTTTAAGTACAGGAGTGAACATCAACTCTGGGATGCAGGTGGATTCAGATGACGTGCCTCAAGTAAATCGAGACGAATGTCTTGAGTTATACTGCTAGGCATATTCTATCTGTTAAATCTATCGAAGCGTCTAAATCACACATTTGAGATACGCACAGCGATTTGTTTAAAAATCGGTTCTTTATTGAATAATATACATAAATTAGCCACAAACGTCACTTTGTGAGAGATCTGTAGCGCCTTACGCGTCTGAAATAGAAAAGGCTTTCTGTAATAATAACGTAAAAAATCATCATAACATACGATATTGCAAATGATAGCTAATAGCTTTGTCTAATCTTGATGACAGGATACCAACAAGCAAAAACAGAACCAAGAGCAAACAATGTGGAAACTGTTGTGTCCAAACAAAGACTAAACTACTATACGAAATGTTGCTACAGGGATGGAGAGAAAGTAATTAAAATGGCAAATACAATAAATGTCATACGTATATGTAAATATTATGGAACACGATAAATGTGCGGTACAACATGAGCGTAAAAACTGCTAGGAATATAACTGTTTACTGAATATTAATGAGTAGTATAAAACGATACACAAAAGTCGGAAAGAAATGGATAGAGACAGAACGTAAAATAGACTTAATACTATTTATTTTCATGACGACTATATTAAAGCAATCCTTACAGGAAGCACATTAGCCAATTAATACATCGAATTCGAGGCAAAATATACCAAATCACTGTAAATTAATTAAAAATGAGCTGGTTTTATTTTTACTCATTGTTCATACAACAAAGTAGGAAGGGTTTGAATCGAATTACATATTGGATGATGTATGTCAATAGAATGTGTATATATTTTTCAAAGAATACTCTTTTTTATCTGACGTTTTATGGTAGAAATATCCACGAAACGTTTTTCCTACTGACATTTACCGCTATTTGATTGCTTGTTTTCGCGTTTGTATTGGTAATTTTATGCGAGGATAACCATCATTTTTTAAAGTTCGATAATGTGCAGTATCTAACATTTTCGAATTAGCCTTCATTTATTTAGTTAGTGAATGCTGCAAATAAGAGCATAATTAATTCTCACTCAGGATTTCATTTTAACTATTTGTAGCTATCTGCATATCTCTTCAACAAACTAGCCACTGTAACGAATATGCCAGACGAAAAAGCAAAAGAAGTAGAAGTTACGGCTTGACATGAAGTTCCCAGTGAAAATTATGGTTCTATATTTCACACTCGCCCACTAAGTGAACAGAAAATGCTTAATAATGTACAGTGATTGAATGTCGAGAGGTAGATACGCTACAGATTTACGGACACGTATCCTATCCTGCTAATTTTACTGCATCTCCCAAGGTCATGCTTTGTTGTTATATATATGAAGTTATTCTACTATAAATTTATCTTGAATTTGGAAATTTTCATAATCTGACTTTTCTCTTCCGTAGTAAAGGGGATTACCGTTAAAGTGTAGTGTAACAACTGTCTAGTGATCTATATAAAAATCCCGTAGATCTCAGTCGTCTGTAATTAGGAATTGCTGTAAATCGATACAGCAAATATTGTGATGAACAAAATGTAGTAGTGGTAGTATCCGAGGAAAATATTTTCCTTGAAAAATCTTGGACCAGATTACCAGGCGAAACGTTGGATTTACTTCAAATTCTTTCGCTGAGATTTCGCAAATACATTCTTCCACTTTAATGTCTCACATAAACTGGGCGCCCAAATATTGTGAAACTATTCGTTCAAATTTAGACGAAAGTTCTTATTTATTAAGCAAATAAATGTTTAGTATAGACCAACCAGTGAATATATGTTCTTTGAAAGCAATCAACACAATAAAAATAAACAATCAGGATTCTTGAAAAATACACTGTATAACAACCAGGTAAAAATCTTACCGATTAATGGACTAGTATAGTAAGCTAATAAATATGGTACACTTAATGATAATCCAATAGTTACAAGCAATGGTGCGACTGCCCAAAGTAAACGCATACAACGAGCATCTTGTCGATGATGTGTCATTTCATCATGAAATAATTCTAAACGATTTCGTAACCACCATGGCGGTCCAAGAAGAGTAAGTAAGATAACCACTTTTAAATGCATAATACCAAATATCCAATGCTATAAAAATTAAAATAGAGAAAATGATTAAAACTAATCGGTAGCTAAACTAAGTCTATTATTGTAAATAGATATATGTTGAAAACTACCTTCAATTAATTCCAGGTATTGCCCAATTAAGTTTCAATGACACCCGACATGGTTGGACTCTACTGGTCAAGTATTCTCTCTAAATTATATAACATCTTTAGTCCGTACTGACACATGGCCATTATTGGTAGACGGGGTTTGTGGAATTTTCTGAGATTTATGGTCTAGATAACGAACTAACACCGTTGTCTAATCAAGGTCAGTTCAGGATGTACACTATTAGATTCAGCAATCTTCACAAACCCACTTAAAGATAGTTCCGTCGAAGAATTTCTTTGGATTGAATAACGATCAAGATGTGAAAACGAATGTTTAAGTTTAGAAATCATTTACCTATGATGAGGTTAGCAAATATACAAATTAAATTAGTACTACAATTTGATGTAAAATTTCAAATTATTTGCAAAAAGGTGGATTTTACTTATTGTATCTGCAGATTGGGACTAGATACCAGATCTGAAATAGTATTACGCATATTTTGAAGAGTATGTAACGTATGTAACGTAAACATTTGAAAAAGTTTTCAGTTAGACAATAATAATAATAAAAACAAACCTCCCAAAACCCAATAATAATGGTTTTCTTGGGTCCAATACGGAAGGGTACAATGAAAATGAAGTTGATTAATAATCCTAAAGCTGTTGGTAGAATGCCCAGACATATTACAGCAATACAAAATAAACGTAACCAATTTATTAATATTCGTAGATAATTTTGTAGATATATCCCAATATTCATATCCACAGTAGATTGAAATCCACAATGTCGATTCAAATCAATCATAGGAGCCATTGGTAATGCTGGTCGTCGTATTGTAATTTCACATGTTGTACCTAAACGAGTCCAAACTCTAAATACACGTAATGGTCTAGACCAGCTAATTAAACTACCACTTTGACCAATCAACATAATAATTCGATAAATTCCATTGAAAAGATGTGGTATGCTGAAACGTAAGTACGATATACGTAGATACATTTAAAGAATTTTAAAAAATACGAACAATAAAATTAAATATACTGTGCAGTGATTCAAGTGAACTCCGCCTGAAGCCCTTCTGGGGCTACTACCGGAGGAGGTTTAGGCATGGGGTTAGCGACCCCATCCCGTAGAAAACTAACTCACTTAAAAAACACCATCCAGAAAAACTAATTCAAACCACTTAAATTTTGCCCTGGGAGTTAGGTCCTCATTTAGAAGAGTTATGACGCCTCATGGTGAAAACCGAGTTCCGTCGGAAGTCACCAAGCTGATGCCCCGTCTGACAACCAGAGTAACAATTAATTTAGCTACATGGAATCCTCGTACAATGTGGGAGACCAGGCGAGTCATCCTGGAGGTGCTTGGAATCAATGAAACACATTGGACGCAAGTTGGACAACAAAGACTAGCTTCTGAAGAGCTGCTGTTATACTCCGGCCATGAGGAAGAGAATGTTCCACATAAACAAGGAGTTGCACTGGCTCTATACAAACAAACACAAAAAGCACTTATAGGATGGGAATCTCATAGACCCAGGATCATCAAAGCCTCTTTTGAAACAAAGAAAGAGGGCATTACAATGAACGTCATCCAATGCTATGCGCCTAGCAAAGACTACAATGAAGACGTTAAAGATAAATTCTACGATAGGCTGCAGCCAATCGTTGATAAGTGCCTAACAAAAACTTTGACCATTCTGATGGGAGACCTGAATGTCAAGATTGGGATGGACAACACTAGATATGAAGATATAATGGGACGACATGGACTATAAGAAAGGAACGAAAACGGTGAGAGATTCGCAAACCTATGTGCCTTCAATAAACTGGTCGGCAAAGTAATCACCAACATTGAAGAACAGCGAAACCGGTGGGTAGAGCACTTCAAAGAACCCTTGAATCGACCAACTCCACTGAACCTACCCAATATCGAAGCAACACCCACGGATCTCCCAATCGATGTTAGCCCACCAACAATTGAAGAAATTAGCATGGCCATCAGACAAATCAAGAGTGGCAAAGCAGCGGGACCAGACAGCATTTCAGTAGAGGCAAGGAAAGTAGATGTAGTAGTAATTGCAAAGATACTCCACATTCTCTTCAGCAATATTTGGGATGAAGAACAAGTGCCAACAGACTGTAAAGAGAACACTCGATCAAGATATCAAATAAAGGCGATCTCAGCAAGTGTGAGAACTACAGAAGCACCACTCTTATCTCAATACCAGGAAAAGTCTTCAACAGAGTGTTATTAGACTCCCAACTTCGTGAGCAACAGACAGGATTCCGTAAAGATAGATCGTGTACAGACCAAATCGCAACTCTACGAATCATTGTGGAACAATCAATTGAATGGAACCCATCACTCTACGTCAACTCCATTGACTACGAGAAAGCATTTGATAGCATGGACAGGACAACACTATGGAGTGCTTGAGAAAATAGTCAATATCATGCGGAATTCCTATGATGGATCAAAGTGTAGAATCATGCATGGAGGACAGCTAACAGACTCGTTCGAAGTAGAAACCGGTGTCAGGCAAGGTTGCTTACTCTCACCCTTCCTCTTTCTCCTGGTGGTCGACTGGATCATGGAGACGTCAAAATACACAATGGGAAAAGCAAGATTCTCCGATACAACACAGCATGCATTAATTGAATCACACTTGACGGAGAAGCTTTGGAATATGTAAAGACCTTTACATAACCGAGGCAGTATCGTTGATGGACACGGTGCATGTGATACAGATATGAAGGGGCGGGTTGGCAGAGCAAGAACAGAATATCTACAACTGAAGAACATCTGGAACTCGAAACAACTGTCACCCAACACTAAGGTCAGAATTTTCAAAACAAATGTCACGACAGTTCTACTGTATGGGGCGGAAACTTGGAGAACTACGAAAACAATCATTCAGAAGATACAAGTGTTTATTAACAGTTGTTTATGCAAACTACTTCGGATGCGTTGTCTAGAAACTATCAACAACAAACCTGATCTTAGCGGAGGAAGAAATCAGGAAGTGGATAGGACACACATTGAGTAAAGCATCCAACTACATAACAAAGCAAGGATTAACTTGGAATCTTCAAAGCCAAAGCAAAAGAGGAAGACCAAAGGACGCGTTATGCCGAGAAGTGGAGACAGACATGAGAAAAAGGAAAAAAAAATTGGATAGAACTAGAAAGGAAGGAGAATGACAGAGTGGGTTGGAGAATGCTGGTCAGCGGCTTATCCTTCATTGAGAGTAACCGGCGAAATTAAGTAAGTGATTCAAGTGACACTCAGTGTGCTTATATGCAAAAATATCAATATCATTTCCATGATTGGTAAAAATTTTCAAATAATGAATAACGGTTGTAAAAAATGATGCCAAAAGTTGGTGTGAATGTGAAACACTGTAACTGATAATTTAAAAATAAGTCAGGAATAGTAATTCGTATAAAAACACCCAATAATTTAAATGGAAGCAAATAATAAGAGAAATAAAAATATATGTAATATAGTTATCGCATCCTGTAGTCCTTCGGGGGTTACTGCCCGGAAAAAAGAGGAAAGTTGAGCATGGAGTCAACAACCATATCCCATAGAAAACAATCTTACCAAAAAACGCAAACTAGAAAAAATCATTTAAACCGTTAAAACCTATGGACATAGCTCTACTATCTCATACACACGAACAAATTCAGGTGAAGACAGCCAGTGTAGCAGAAGCCTCTGCATCAGTAGGCCTCAACATACAAGGGAAAAAGCAAGATATTCAAAATCAACACAGAACACCAAACCAATCATACTTGATGAAGGAGCTCTGGAACAGGTGGACAGCATCATCTGTAAACAAGGAGGGTCCGATCCAGGTGTAAAGGTGAGGATTGGAGAAGGGAGAGCGACATTCCTACAGTTGAAAAAGATCTGGATCTCAAAAC